AAACTACTTATTAAATTGCACACACACATTAACACAATAGAAATACAGTTACATAACCAAAGCAGCAGATCTATTAATTTTTATGCTCATCAATTCTCTCCTCATCCATGAAGTTGTTCCTGATTGCTATAATGGTCTTTTTACTTTTCCTAGAGTGTTTAAGCTTATACCACATAATTAGGATATACTTAGAGACTTGTTTTGTTACACTCCTCCAACCACCAAACAATGGTCCTTAACAGTTAAATAAGTTCCTCAGTACTAAAAATCACAATAAATAGCACAAAAGCTGTGAATCAGCCCGTGAACTGGACTCCATCCATAGAAGTTCTAATTCAGAAGTGTACGGTGGTGGGCAGCTAAAAATTTCCTCAGGTAAGTCTGTGTGAGACACAGTTCAGAATTACACTGGAATAATCCTTCTAAAGCATGACAAGCAGCACATCACATCCTTGCTAAAACATTTTCAATGGCTCCTTAGTTGCCCACCTAACAAAATGTAACCTCAGTAGCTGTGCATTAGACCCTCCCAACCTGGCCCCAATTACCTTTCTTGCTTTATCTCTCACCTCTCCTATATAAACATCTAAAGTCAGGTCAAGCTACACTTTTTGTCATTCTCTGAATGGCCTTATTCTGCCTCCAAATTATTCCCTTTGTTTGGTGCGCCATCTATTAGTATTATTTATGGTCTAGAACCCAGATTAAATTGCCACCTGCCCTCAATCCTTCTTTAACCAGTAATCTCCCCTCCAACCAAAAAAAAATTTTTTTTCTCCTCTGTAGTGCCTCATTCATACATACCTTATCAACATACTGTCTTGATAAAGAGATCCTGCTTTGTATATTTTTATATCCCTCAAATGTCTAGCACTGTGTTTACTCAACACATGGTAGGTGCTCAGTTACTATGTAATGGGTAAAAGAAATATAATAACTTTTCTTACCTATAGTTCTCACAGCTTCCTTATGATCAGCTCTGAAAAGATTTATTCGACCATCTTCTCCAACTGTGACAATTTCTGGGTTGTTGCACACAACACCTGTGCATGGAGCACTGCTACAGGAAGGACTGCCAGGACCTGTATGGTAGTGAGCTGTTGTCCACTGCTGGCTGACTGACAGAGTCTAAGTGTCAGAAATAAGAGTATGATTAAAGCAAAGCAAAGCAAAGCTCTAAAAACTAGCACTTTCCTCCAACTAAAGAGTATTTTAAAACTGTCTCACACATTTCTAGAAAAAGAGTAACTCTCTTTTTCCTTTGTATTGCGTAGTTTTAAAGTTTCGAAACTACTTCCATCAAAGCACTATAATGGGATCAGATTCAAAGGAACGCTGTTTGTTAATACCTCAAACTGAAAGTAAGACGATGTTTTTTGGGTATCAGGTAGTTGTTTGTATTCTAAAGGAACTCTAAATTCTTTTTTTCTTAATTAAGGTACATTGATATACAATCTTGAAGGTTTCACATGAGCAACATTGTGGTTTCAACATTCACCCATATCAAGTCTCCCCCCGACACCCCACTGCAATTACTGTCCATCAGCATCCTAAGATGTTATAGTGCAACTCTAAATTCTTGAGGGAATTAGCCTGTATTTAAGATAAAAATCTACAGTGCTTCCTAAATGACTCCATTAAAAAAATAGTAAGATCTGGGCTTTATATTTACTAGGAATGCCTTTCTGCAAGGTGACCTTTCTTAATCCCAAAATCTAAATAAGCATTCTCTTCCAGCAACTTAAAATTGTTACTACAAGTGGGGCTATTTTAAAGGAGTGTCCTCACCACTATGCTGTGAAGGTCAGCCCTCTTGGGCTTTTAGCACACAAGAAAGCTGCTGAACAAATGCCAAGTCTTCATATGGTGGACCCTCTCTTCTAATTAAAACTTCGGTTCTAGCCACAGAAACAAAGTAGCTGTTCCTATTCTCTCTCATGATACCTGAGCTAGAAGTTACTCTTTTTTTCTTCAAAAGAGAAAATTAGAAGAAAATTACTTGCCAGAATACTATAATGTTAGGTCTAAACTAAGAGAATTTAAGAGATATTCAATTTGAATAGAAGTCCACACAAACATGGTTCTAAAATACACTGAAAGATGGGTAATACTTTTTCCCCTCCATGTTTTGAGACTATAAAACGTAATTATTTGTGTCATTTTTAAGTACAGTCTTCTTTAAACCTTCCTGAAAATAATTAAAATACAAATCCAGTTTTCAAGCAAAAATTATTTACCTGGTTATTTGGATGGTGAAGGAAAACCGTTACACATCCTGTTGATGAAGCAGCTACAATTCTTTCCTGGTCAAAAAACTAAACAGAAAATTCCTGCTTGTTATAGTTTCAGAAATATCAGTAGGGGGAAGCCCATTTGTTCAGCTCAATCACTGGTATAACAGTTTTAAAGTGCAAAGAACCTCTAATATATAATAAAATGCAAAGAACTAAGCAAATAAAATGTGATGCAATCTGAAATTCAAACTGCTATTACATATAGAAGTATTTTTTCATGAAAAATAAATGACAATAGTCTTTTCCCTAAGTCGTGTCCCTGTACTGATTTAATTTTGGACCATTACCATAAAGGTTTAGAAAAGTATCATTCCTGGGGTTAAGCGGCTTTCTACAGAAGAAAATTCAGACTTTTAAGTTGTACAGTCCAAGATGTGAAAACTTAATTCCATTCCTACCACTTACTATTTGCTCTAAGGTCTTGGCCAGTTTTGTAAGCCCCAGTAAACCCTTAAAACAGTTTTAGGGATGACTATCCCTGCTTAGGAAGTTATTATGAGAATTCAGAAAGCAGAAACACATAAAGTGCCTTGCAAAGTGTTTGTCATATAGTATGTATTCAAAAGATCTCAGTTTCCTCATTGATAAAAAAGAGATAATACTTGATTCACAAGCATGTCATGAGAATTAAATTAATTTATGTAAAACTACTCAAAAGTGCTTAGCACATAGTAGATGGTGAATAATTAAACAAACTAGGATTAAAAAACTAGGATTAAACCCTCATCCCCTTCCCCACTTCTAATTCTCCCGTTAAGAGGCTATATGTGATGTTGGCAAATCAAAACTATAGAGAACTCAGTTTTCTGCAAATCCGGGGAGACTAGACAAACTTCAAGGTCTTTCGTATCTCTAAATGTATTACTCTCAGTTTTTAAAATGTTAGCTTTTATCTACTATACAGACTTACTTGTAGATCCATTACATCACCAATGTGTCTGATATCACACAATAATTGATGGTCTCCTTCAAATCCTCCATCAGAGTCCAAGTTCCCAAAATCTCCAATAGACCACAGTGAAACATAATTTTCCTGCAAAGCAGAAAGTTTTATCTTGAGATGAAATATACGTCAAACTTTCGGAAATTCAAGGTTGCATTGCCTTAAAGCAACCTTTCTTTAAAAGCATCTCAGACAAATGGTAATAGCTTAAAACGCAAGGATATGCGAGGCCTAGGCACACCATCGATGGCTCTGACGTACAGGGCAACAGAGCCCGAAACGGGCGGCTCCGGGGAAGGAGAAGGGCAAGGGGCTAGAAGGCGAGAGATTTCGCGCGCCGGGGGGCAGGGGCGCGGTTCCAGGAAAGCAGGCTGGGACTTCCCAGCCCAGACTAGGAATACCTCATTGTCCCAAGAGCCCGTAGCGAAGGTCTCGGTGGTCTGCAGGCTCCCCGGAGGTACCGGTCGCCAGCGGGTTTTGCTGATTTTCTGAGACACAAACTTGGCATAAATTTCCTCCATGCCTGACATAGCCGCACAAACACCACGCAGCACAACGCGTGCCTTTCAGTCCCGCCCCTTCCCGCGGAACCCTGATTGGACCAGACCTAACGGGGCGAACGGTGGCTTCGGAGAGCCAATTCTCATCCGAAGGCAGTGCGGGCACCGCCACCCTGCAAGCCTGAAGAAGTTGGGACGCCTTTCCCTCCTGAGGTGGCTCGGAACAGAGGCAGGAGTGTACCGTTCCCTGTGCTGTAGGACCTGCTCCTAATCTGTAAAATCAGCATAGGAACACCGAGACAATGCATTTGTGCAATAATTGTGCAATGTAAAACAAATTTAAGAACAAAACCAACATAAAATCAATCCAAGAGAAACCACCTAGTAACCACACCTGATCATCCAGTTTTGCATGTCACTGCTCAAAGATTCAAAATTCTTGAATTCTTATGGAAGTACATCCATTAACGTACCACCATTATTCTAAAACGCTCTTTCTTTGCCTCCCAAATTCCTTGCTTCAAAGTTTTTAATAAACCCTGTCGGAGCCTGGAGTTGTAATTAGGGACTCCAGTTTAGTTTTGACGCCCATTGTCCAGCTGTGTAACCTTCCTTAATTCTCCATTTATGTATATAATTAAGAATGAGTTTGATGTGTAACGTGGACAGCCCAGGAATAGGTGCCCTAAGTTTCTTCTGTGCTTTTGGTTGCAACTATAAGATCCTTTTATTCCTCTCTACTTCTCAGAATCCTGCCCACCGTTCAAGGGCCAGTTTCTTCCCTATCTTTTTCTGATTACCCAAGCCCGTAAATAAACAGCCTTTGATATCTGGACTACCAATAGCACTTAGATTTTGCCCTTCGTTGCTAGTTTTTTTAATGCAGATCTTGTCAATTAGAATGCAAATCATACCGCATAAATGAGGTATGATACTTATCTTTAAAAAACTATATTATCTTCATAAGTATGTTGTTGGTTGTCTCTTTAAAAGGGGCCATGATATTTTGATGTTGTTTTTATCTGGTATTAGCAAGTCTTATTTCAGAGCCACAGCTTATGAAAGAACTACATGTAAATGTAACCCATCCAGATCAGCTTTAGTGAGAGTTATCAGGTTCTTATTGGGGATAGACTGACTTTTTTTTACTTGAACTCTATCAGGAAACTACAGAGACATGAAATATAAAACTGTTAGAGTTCCAAACAACAATTTTATTCTTAACACTGAAGTAGACAACACCGTATTGAGTATAGTTTCATTTATGGTCACAGAATATCAGAAAATAGGTCATGAATATTTTGTATAGGAGGTAGGCTTGAGTATCACAGTTGCCAAAATCTGGTGAGAACTGGAATTTGAAAATTGCTGCTCACGCAGTAGTATTAATGTCTTAACTTAGCCTTGTTTCCTTCCTTAAAAGTTTATTGTACTAAATGATGAGTGGATTCTCAATCTTAGTCTGGTTGGAAATCAGCCGGTTGGACGATAGAGGTACTGTTGTTCCCCGTCAGCTTCTCAAGGTCTTGCAGGGCTGATAGCAATAAAACTGGTGTCCATTCTAACGGTGGTACTTGAGGTTTATTAGCTGAAAAATACTATGATATTCTTAACCAGTTGTATGTTCTAAGGAGCAAAGCATTCCCCACGCTCCTTCCCATCCCCTATGTCATGGTGTTTTTCCGCTCGCTGAATCGGTGCTTTACTTTACAGAGTTGAGAACAAACCAGGGTCCTACAGGTATCTGCTAGGCAAACATTGATATACTTGTCACAAAGCCAGAGGCTGTAGTACTATAAGTTAGAGAGGGCCTTTCCCTCCTGTTCTACTAAGATTCAGGGTCCACCATAGGGAGCTCTGACTCTAACCGACCTAAATATTAGTCAACTGGGTTGGATGAGGCAAAATGGAGAAGCCCACCGTCCAACAATCTGGACAGCTATAGGGGCAGACCTGTCGCTCGCAACAGCTGACCCAGCTGAGACTCTTGAGCCACCGGCAGCAGTGGAACCAAATCGGCGAACCGGCGGCACATATCTGCTCCGCCATTCCGCTACCGCGCTCGGTGACCAGACCCACAGCCAGGAGAGCAACGTATCACGCTGGGCCCACCTGGCCTGGCTGCAGGGCGAACCCAGCAAGGAGGAGGTGTGCAACCTGAGGTATCAGAAAGGGGCACGCGGCGACAGCGGCGCTGGCCCTCCAGCTCTTCCCGTGCAATCGCAGGAGCCACAGGCGTGGTTGGCAGGGCACAGGACCATCCAAGCCCCCGGACCCACCCTGCTGTACCCGAGGCCGCGCGGGGTCATACAGCGCATGCGTGCCGCGGGGGATGCCGGGAGCGCGCAGTGGCGGCTCGGGCGGCGACAGCAGTAACAGAGGCGGTTACGACGGAGGCGCCAGCAGGGCGGTAACCGTGTGGGAGGTAGTCTCATTCTTCGGGAAGCTGCTCGGTATCGCCGCCGCACTGAAGGTGCTTCTGTACCTGCTCCGGGTGTGCTTAGCGATGGCCTGGAAATCCGGCGGCGCCAGCCACTCGGAGCTAATCCACAATCTCCGCAGTAAGTGCCACCACCGCCCGGCGTGGGGCGACTGGGCCAGGCCAGGCTTCGGCCTGGTTCTCCAGGGCCGTCCGGAACGTTCTGTCTGTCCACCCCCGTGCCCGCTGGAGGGGCTCAGCTCCGGGTTGCACTATCAGCCTTGATCGTCCTGCACTTGCGATCGCGTCCCCCGCTACCTGTCACTCATCAGCTTTGGACTCGAAGAAAAGAGCGAGCCAGGGGCCGCAGTTGGTGGGCAGGGACAGGCGTCCCCCCGAGGGTCTGGGGGCGTGGGCGCTTCTCGGGTGGTGGGGCTCTCGCTCGGATCTGCCGCCTGCCCGTCCGGGTGTAGCGGGAGGGACCATATTTTGCCGCAGCCTGGAAGCGGGGCTGGAACCGATGGGACCCCACCCTTAACCCCCGCGTCTTCTTACCGTCCTCCTCCTCCATAATCGACCTCGGTGCTGGCTTTTTTCCTGCCTCCCCCGCCCTGCGTTTTTTCCACTGGAGGGAGATGCCACTGTTTGATACCGGCGAGGGGAGGGAGAGAAAGATGAGAGAGTATTGTCATTGCGAATGCTGGGAGAAATTTCTGGGACTGCTGTCGGGTGGAAAGCCTCGTAGAGGGTGGAGGAAGAAATAATCAGGAGACGCTGTTCGTGAGACATTTGTTTGAGGAGGCTTTAGGGTTCCTGGGATCCGCGAACGATTGTGTGTGTGTGTGAAACGTTACAACTTTTTTCAAGTCCATGTGCTCTGAAAGCCTTGTGTGAGTTTCCTTGTATCATTCTCTTCAGTTATTGCATTCCTTACTCTGATGATAATTATGAGTGCTGTGTCACTTTCTTTTTTTAAATAGAAATACAGTGTCGCTGTCCGATCGGGAGACTAGAAGGACTGCAGTCCGTAACATTCCCTCTGGTCAGAATTTGCAGCATTCTCTTTGCCACCAACTTTGCAAATATTCATATCCTGCCACGTCATATTTTCAATTATTATGTGTTATTTAGCTTTTCATGAGTTTTTCATGATTTCTAATTTTATTTGTAATCTCCTTGAGGGCTGGAACTTTTTCCCCTTAATATCTTCGAATCCTCTTTAAGAACTTAGTATTCATTCCTTTTTCATAAATGTCAATGTACATTATATGCTTGGATCTGTGCTATGAACACCAAGATGAGAGAAATAAATAGTAATGCCTGACACATGGTTAGTACATAATTAGTCATTTAACTTTTTTTTTTTACAATACTTAAAATTTGGAAATTGTGTCCTTAATATTTAGTAATGAAGAATGTTTAGATTTCAAAATTCTGTCAACCATTACCAGTATTTACTTTATGGAAGGGTATTTGATTGGAAGTGGACATTTATAACCTGGGGCAGTATTATGAAGTGTGATTTAGGTTCCCATGGATTGCACATAAACTCAATATTTTGGAAATATTTTAATACAATTTCTTAAAATGGTTTAGTGCCTGCTATTACAGTGTACCCATTGCATACTTGAAACATTCTATAGACGAATTATGATTAAGTAATTTTCCACCAGTAGGTTATCTCAGTAGGCACTTGGCTCTGGCAACAATTTGTAATCAATAGGCTCTTAAAGTCACTCCTCTTTGAGCCAGATTTGTGGTTAGCAAGACTAGCTCTTTTCCCAGTGGTTTTATAATCACTTTAGTGTATCATATTACTGTTTTTAGCTAAAATTTCTAAGGATGTTTTTCTATCAGAAAATTGAATAATGTTTAATATACATGGATGTTGATATTACAAATACTTAGTTTTATACTAGATCTCTGTAGGAAAAAATTACATTATATAGCCTCTTGTAACACTGCAACTTTCGTTTCAATGTTTTGTTGAATTAATCCTAGGTAATAGGTTTCATTTCTATTTATTTACTATAAATGTAAATGAGCTCGTAAAAATTTCAATTGGTACAGCATTTGAAAATTTCTTATTATTTCTTGGTTATTTGACTTTTGTGTATCTTTCTAACTTAAAGGCTTCTAATTTAATCTTTAGAAAAAGATTAAAATGTGATTATATTGACGTTGAATGAAGAGGGATCTGCACATTGGAGGAAGCCAGTAACATTTTTAATGTTTTGTTTTTAAGAAATCAAGTTCATGATTGCTTTAGTTTTAACATTATAATAATTTTATTGAAAATATCTACTGAGTTTTTAATTTTATAAGACATTGTAATAGAAATATTGTATTTAATTTCATAGTTGATATATTATTTACAGGATATTGTACAGTGTAATGGTACATCTCATAATATCCATAACTTATGATGACAGATGCTCTCAAGTAACTTAGAACAGTGGTCTAAAACTTGAGCATGCTTTAAAATCTCCTGGATCACCTGGAGAGCTTGTTAAAACAGATTTCTAGAGCTCAAGGATCTGTATTTCTAACAAATTTCCAAATTCTGGCTGATCCAAGGATTATACACTGAAATCACTGACATAGAGAATTCAAAATTACAAGGTTAAACTCAGTCAGTATTTGAGCTGAATCAGTTTTATGTTTTAAAATAAGGTTT